AAAATAGTTCAAAAGAAATCTGCGCCTTAGCGTCTTGCCTTCAAAAATCTTGTGGTTACCTGTATTACTGATTACGTGAGAATACAAGTTGTTTTTGAAATAGCATCTGCATAAAGCTGGTGAGTTCATAAGCAATTTATGAATGAAAAAATGAATGATGTTCCTTTTTGTTTGTTACAGGTTTGTTTCCAGAAAATCCAATATTTTCTAAAAGTTTGTTGTAGTCTTAACTGAACCAAGACTTAGTATATGTAAGCAAATCATCATACTTGTGTGCTTGTGTGGTTTTATATTTAAATAAAACTCCTTAAATCCCCGTGAACTGTGTGTTTTGTTAATTCCTCATGTGAGATGTTATAAACATACTAATAACTCGAAGACCTCGTACTCGACGTTCTTCAGGCGTCGAAATTGTTATGACACTTGTCACCCCAGACCTGCCGGTCTAGCTGTTGCAAGCAGCTTAGGTGCGGGTTTGTCAGACCCAATATAGATCTATACACAACTATCATGCTCTCCCTACAAGAGATTATGGCTATATCTACAGGACTTTCCTGTGGTACTTAAGAGTACCCTGAAGGCGAATGTCTCACAAATTTATTCATTAACAAGTTCACGTAGTTTGTAATGAAATACCCGTTTTGTAAATCGATTGTGTTACTGTTTCTTTGTTAAACGAAGTGTCCAAACTATACCTATTATATTTTATCAAGAGTGTTTTATGTTTTAAATGAAACCTTGTTATGCATGGCTTTGTATTTCAATAAAATGACATCGAAAATATTAAGTATAAAATCTTACACACCTTGCTCAGCATGTTACAAGGTGTGAATAACTCTTAAACTTGTGTTTGACAGTTTTACCCTTAACTGTCACTGTTTTAGAATATTTATAGAAAAATCATCGTAAGTCAAAAACTGACTCCGTAAACTCAGAGAGTTTAGAAAAAGAGTCTATTGTATTCATAAATTATTCTATAATTTTTGGTGGTTTCAAACCAGTGTGAAAATGTTCATCTTCACAACCTGGTCCGATTTTGTTGCTGCAGTGATAGGCAGTTTTGTAAAAATCACCATAAATTGTAGAAACATCGTATAGAGATCTGAAAGTAGTCATTTTAAAGGTATAAACCTGAACTATTTTCATGTTAAACAGTTTTGAAAAATATTAAGTTTAAGTTGGGTAAAACAGTTCGTGAACAGGTCACAACTTTTCTGTTGTAAGTTGTCAAGTTAAGTTTTAAATATGTTCTGGTCTCTTAACTTGTATCCCCCCCTGAAAACTAAAGAAAACTAGAAAATGTAGGGGTATGAACTCACCTTGGGCGATTTCTTGAAGAGTGGAAGGTCGAAGACGAGGTGTATCAAGTCAATAACACTTGATGAACACGTGAAGTGTTGGATGATCCTAAGAACGATTTTTGGTGTTAAATGTGTGTAGATGATTCAAGGATGTTAGGAAAATATGGAATAACACTTGAGTTTAGATGAAATTCTTACCAAAAAGTGAAGTAATAGCTCAAGAACACTTCCAAAAAGTGGCTGGAAGTAGAGAGAAAATGAGCTTTCTTGAAGGGTTAAGAAGTGTGTAAGTGAAGGAAATGATCAAAGTGAACAAAGAAATCCTCCAGGGATTTCTTTATATAGATGTTGCTGGAGCAATTTGCAAAGTTGAAGGGATGTTTACCTTGGTTTATGTGATGTGGATAGGGTTGGACCAATGAGAAGATGACACATGGAGACAAGTGGGCACACTTGACCCACTTGTGGGGTAGAATACTCTTCTTAATATAAATTAATGATTTTTAATTAATATATCCTTGAGAAATTAATAAAATATGAGTTTAGGGGGTTTAAAATGGTAAAAATATGAATTTGGTGAAAAATCCTCGTCAAAAACGTCAAAAATGGGCTTAGGAAGCGAAAGTAGTCGAAAACTAGGCGTTAAGGAGCGAACCTGCGAGGTTCGGCTCTTAGGAGGTGAGAAGCGAGAGTGGGAGAAGGAGGAACCGAAGATGGGTGAAGGAACCGAAGGTGGAGGCTCGGTCCGAAAGTGGCAGGTAACCGAAATGGACCGAGGGCTCGGTCTATTTCGGGCGTAGGGAGGGTTCGGCTCTAACTGGCTTCGGTTCGCACGAGGTTCGGTCCGAGATGTTGACTTCGGTCCTAAAGGCTTAGTTCGGTCCTAAATGGGACCTTCGGTCCTAATAGAAGGTTCGGCTCTAAGAGGTTCCATGTAAGAGGGTTCGGTTCCTAAGAAGGGTTTCGGCCCTAATTAGCCGTTTTTCGATATAACTCCCCGATTTAAGCGGTTTTTGGCCAATTTAAGGGTCGGGATGACCCAGTTGACTATAAAAAGTTGAGAGAGATTTTGAGAGAGATTTGGGAGAGATTTAATTTTAGCCATTATTATTGTATAACCTCGTAATGCAAGGTTCGTGAACCCCGTCATGCTTCGTTTATGATCATTTCAAGTCCCCAAAAGGGTACATAGTCGTGTTTTGATGCATTTAACTCCCTTTTTAGGGTTTTTACAATGCTAAACACATTGATTCTTCGAGACACTTGAATTGTTGACATACAAATGCACATTTTTATACATAGAATAACTTTTAACATATAAGTACTAATTAAGTTTGACCGGTTTGACTTGTTGACTTTATCTTTGACTGGAATTTGACGGTTGTCACATTATCCCCCCCGTTAGAAGGAATTTCGTCCCGAAATTTGCATTTTGAGTGAGACTT